TGGTTGTAGGTTTATCAAACAAATATCAACAACTCCTTCCTTTAATTCATTTTTATTGCAGTGTTTACACTTTAGCTGACAAGGTCGTCTCGATAACGCATCAGCATTTCCATATTGGACTCCCTTTCGGTGCTTTATTTAGAAGTTATAGTTCTGTAGTCTTTCTATTCATGGAGCGATCGTTCCTTCCGGCTCTTAAACTTCAATTATCATCTCAACGCTGTGTGATCTGTTCTCAAATAAAATTTTTGAACATAGAAGTACTTATGAAACTATTTTACACATTCCACCACCGCCAACAGTTCGTTTTAATTTATACAATAGTTTCATTCTGGTTTTCCAAGAATCCTGTTAAAATATGCTACCACTTTTTCTTGACCATCGATAGTCTATCGACCATCGAACACCACCAATTCCATAAGCGCTCACGTCGATGTCTAAAATAAATTCCTGCCCTAGTACTGGATATGATAGCATTGGTGCTGTACAAAGCATTTGCTTCAATTGTTGAAAAGCATTCTCTTGCTCGTTTTGTCTTACGAATGAGCAATTTTTTTAAGTAAGCTGGGGCCAAGAAAACTTCGTAATTCATGTATGTTTGCTGATCTACTGAATTTAATATATCCTAATCGGTATGAATGCCTTGCGTCGTCACTTAATGTCCGAGATACGAAACTTGCGTTTTCATCAAAGAACATTTCCTGGTACTCAAGCGCAATCCAGCTACCGCGATACGTTGAAAGACTTCCTTTAGATTTTTCAAATTATTCATACTTTTTCCTATGACAACAAAGTTGTTGAGGTACACCAGACTTGTTTTCCAATGAAGTCCCTTCAACACGTGCTCTATCAGTCGCTCGAACGTTGCTGGTGCATTACATAATTCGAATGCCATCGCCGTGAACTCTCATAACCCATCGTCTATAATTAACGCAGTCCTTTCGCGATCATTCTCCTTAATTTCGACTTGCCAATAACCACTTTAAAGATCTAACGTGGAAAACCATTTCACTCCAAATAATGTGTTTAAACTGTTATCGATTCTAGACAATGAATAGCTAACCTGTCACGTGATATCGTTCAGTTTCTGATAATCCACGCAGAATCGTGCTGGTACAACTGGGGAGCCCACGGGCTCGTTGACGGTTTAATTACAAAACTTTTCTGCGTTTTATCTATAAATTGGTTAGTTTCTTCTCGTTTCATTCAAAACTCTTACTGGGATCTGCGCATCACTTCTGCTTTTAACATGTTTCTTCCTACTAATGCATTGGTATTGGTTTTGGTTGGTTTCACAACCTACAAGTTGAGGACCCACATCCTTCAACTACTTTCGCCCACACAACCGCTTCCGATTACGGTGGAATATTCGACTTGTCGTTGACTGTCACTGTCTTAACCTCTACAGTTGTTTCATATCCAGTATTATTTGGCATTTCTATATTTCCGCAAGACAGCATTTTCCTTTTCTAGTCTAACAAGTCTAAATCCGTGTTTAGACATAAAGTCCAATCGTATTATTATGTCGTCCATGATGTCATCCACAAGAAACGTGTGGTTGATCACCATAGTGCCAATCAGAATCTTACAAGACATTTTACCAGCGATAATAGCTTCAATCCAGTTGCTGTTCGAAGCTTGTAACCAGACATAGGTTCAGTCGTTTCCTTTATTATGTTGGGCTGAATAATTAAATGTGACACACCAGCATCTAAAGTAAGCATTATTGGAAGAACATTTACAGTTCCGTTGCTGTAATATTGTTCTTGTGACGATTAATTTTTGAGACTGACACTGTGGGGATAATAGTTGCGAGAACCAGTTTCCGCCCCTTGGAACTGTTGGGTAAAACTTGTTTTTCATCATCTCCAGCGCTGTGTCTAGCTGGATTGGCATTAGACCATTTCGACAAACTCTACAGTTGCGTGCTTGTTTACCACAATGATAGTATTTACCCGCCGTTTTGGTAGGAGGGGTCATGCATCTTTAACTGCTGTGACCATTCTTTCTACAACTGCTGACTCTTCGAATTCCATTTCATAAACCTTGTGAATGGACTTAGTTGCGAGTGATGTGGTTTGTGGAGAAAGCGCATGTGACACGATGTTAGCAAATGTCCTCTTAGCCAGTACAAGTGCCGCACTTTTAACATCTACGTCTCGTATACCATTAATGAAGCCTTATGTATTTACGCGTTTCGTCTACTAATGCATCTGCATTTGCTAAATGTGTTAGTCGCTAAACATCGGATGCAATCTTGGAGAGTCCCACCTGAGTTTTGGCATCGATTTTGTATTTCTGTTGCCTTAGTTCGCTTTCAAATCGCTTTTCCAATGCTGACATCAAGGCATCATAATTGCCTGTTTTATAATGGGGTATGGTTTATAATATTTCGGCTGCGGAAACATTTAACAAAATAAATAATACAAGTACTTTCTCTTCAGTATTCTAATTATTAAACATCGCTGTTTTTTTAAATTGGAGCTTAAATATTTACAATGGGACTCTTCTATCAAACGTTGGAGCTTTGCATATCGGAGCGCATATTGGTGCTGAGTTCTCATTTATTTAAGAACAAATAATATCGCATTCATATCTAGATTTGATAAAGGATCTTCTAGTTTCGACTTTACTTCTATTAAGTGAAGCTTTCTGGAACTTTGAAATCGAATTCATCTGCCTTTATACCCTCGCCCCAATTGCATAACGTAGTCGACTTCGTTAATTTACCTTTGACCCATCAATAGCTAAATTACGTGCAACTAGCTCATTCTTTAATTGCAGAATTTTTAAATTAGCCAGCTTAAATCTTTTTTGACACAGTTTATTGAAAATCCTACTTCTGACGCGAATTAAAACGAACTAGCCTTTTTTCAAAACGAACTAGTGTTTGTTCTTTTTCGTATCTCTGGATTGTCAATAACGTAACAAATGCTCAAAAATAACCACGCCAGTTTAATTGTCAATACTTAATCATCTTTATTTGCTAAATGTGCTGTTGTTCTTTTAATCGCTAAACGTCTTATATACTTTCAAAGAAAATATTCGTTAGAAATACAAAAATCACAAACAACGTGTTTTATAAACGATATAGTCCAATAATTAATTATTATTTTCAATTGAAACTAAAGACAATAAACTTGTCTGTTGACGAAACACAATTCTTCGAAGAAGCGCTAAAGTGACATCTGTAAAAGTTTTTCTTATTTTTGTTAACTAATAGTGTTGCCGTATTGTTATGATTTAACATATACCAGTAGTGAGGCCGGTAGTTGTGTACTGGCCACACACTGCGGTCAGTAAAAAAAAAATGTTACCAACGTAAAAAGGCAACTATTGTAAATGTTCATTGGAAACTCTAACAAATATTGCAATTTTGTGTCGAAAATCATTTGTAATCAAAAATTCGAACACAATTCAAAAATTTCAAAAATTTAAATATTGGGAAAAAGAAAAATTTCAGTGTTTTATTTTAAAATTTCCAACATATTTACCATTCCTTTTAATTCTATATTCATTTTAATTTTCAATTTATATGAATTATTTATATATATACAAAATGTAATTTATTTGCGTTATATGCACATATGCAAGATTTGTTATTTGCCAAAACATAACATTTGACATATTGCAACAGTGATGCCAATGTCTCGTTTAGCGAATTTAGGCCAGCATGCATTTTTTTGCCATACTTGAGACCCACCGAAAGACAAAATTTCGTAATACACCAAGGCAATAAGAAAATTGAAATGACACAGAAATAATAAAAAATAATCCAAAAGATCAACTTTTAGTGTTTAAGAATAACTTGGCATCAGTGCCTAAACAAGTAAATATATAACAAGTAACAAAAATTCAAATTTGCAGTTGAATTTTATAAAAAAAACTTGTTTAAATTAATATATGTATATAATAGGTCTGCTCCACGAGCTACTCGCAGTAAAACTGAAGTAAAACACAAGTAAAGTACAAACTAACCGCATATCACAAACAAAGTGCGATATTAAGTTCTTTACACAGATTTTCATGAAAGATTTGTGTAAAATCTGGTGAGAACACCAGATGCTCTCATTGACTCGAAAATTTGCTGGTGGAACGCACTTGTTTCTCAAAGTTATGTTACTACGAGTAGCTCGTGGAACAGACCTAATATAAATGATATAAAAAGTTATTGATGAGCAGTTTATATTGTATATAGTTGAATTTATATACGTTAATTATCAACAGTATATTCTTCATTTAAGCTTAAAATATGTTAACAATAACTTGATGAATAGTAAACCATTATCTTCATATGGTTTATATAATTTTGTTGTGGGACTGCTAAATTCATATGAAGAGAAAAGCTTTAACCAAAATGAGAAAATATGAAACATCGTCAAAATCCAGTAACGTCATGGTATGTAGTAACTGTGAGAATTTTGTGAGGTGAAATGACTGGCCGCAAATGTCTCATTTGAAATTAGTCATTTGAAAGTATTAATATGCGTTGTAAGTCATTTGTTTTCATTTCAAACAGCTGATTTGTCATTGTTCCTGTTGATTTGATTTTTGGACTAAGTCAAAAAAATGTTGGATGTCGGTTAAACATACCTTTAATGCTTACAACATAAACTTAAGACTTGTTTTAATCATCGGTTTATTTATTTTTGAACTGAAGAAGTCCCAAAAAAAAGTGCATCGTTTTCAAGGAAATGCGACCAGCAAATATTTGTTTACCTTTTTTTGTATATATGGCAAAACCAGCTTTATCAAATTGTCAAAATGTATTCATTTGCATTTGGCAGATATCTGGAACTCATTTTAAGCTCATTGGAACTCGTTTGTACAAAATCAGCAAATGGAAGTCATTTGCGCATATGATATTTTGTACGGAGAAATTAATCACTTGCTTCTCATATATAATTTTTCACTCAAATCAGTCATTTGAGTACAGTGTAAATGCCATATAATATTAAACCTTTTGCACAAATTGTGTATGCTGGGTATAAAAATCAATATTGACATGTTTCAAAAGTTTTTCAGTTTTCATCATTCCGTTAAATGCCTTAAATGTTGTCAGTCAGAGCAAATCGATGGTTTGAGTACGAGCATTTTGGGTGGACGTACGTGTTCTGTAATTTGTTGGTTTTGTGAAGTGAAAATTCCAGACTAATAAAAACCACATTCTCATTCAAAGTATGCATAAGTAAAATAGTTTTGAAACGTGTAAAATTCTAATATAAGTTTAAATTCAAATTTAATATTATTTTTCCGAACTACTACAATCTTTTCTTCTATGTTAATTATGAATTAAACATATTTTTCGTTGAATATAATGGTTTTGCTATTGTATTAACGCTTCATAGCGACAGGATAATAACAATAATATGCTGATGCCAATAGTTCCATTGTAAAAGTTATTTGTGGGTATTCAGCTAAGAAGAATAGCATTTTACAAGAAAAATCATAAGTCTACTTCTTCAAATAAACACCCAAGCATTTTTTTTTTTGGTAAATCTTTAGTAAAATATGAAGAACTTTTCTTATTCTTAATTTATTCTATTTATGACCACGTTTTTCTTAGGAATTGATGTATTTATAATGGAATTAATGTGCGTCATTGTTTAGTATGTATATGGTCGCTTCTTCTCGTTTCTTACCGCCTGAAAATTGCATACATATATTTTTTTATATTCCCTTACGCCACTTTGGTTTATACTAGTAAAAATTGGTTTTTCTAATACTTTTCATAAGCATACGAAATATTTCAAAACTTTTATGTTTGTAACGTTTAAAATTTAATATTGTAATATAAATAATTTGGCAGGTGAATATACATTCAGAATATACGTGTGTATGTGTGGTATCAAGTTTCCTATACATGTAGTTTTTACAATTAAAAAGTAGGTTAAATTTATAAATGATCAATCTTGTTCTTAGGATTTAATTTATTTAAGTTGAGAATAATAATAGTTCTCATATGTTTTAAGATTTTTTAGTGAAATGAATTCCTCATATTCGATGCAGTATTATGGTTGCAAATAAAAAACTATTTTTCGATGGTTTTGGGAATGCCATTGTTCTTTCAAAAAAACTCCTGGTTAGTTTTTTCATATACTTTGTATCAAGAGATTTGCATAACTTATACGCAAATAACAGTAAATTTGTAGTAGGGGAACCCTGTACAATATCTTTTGACAATGGAATGGCATATGCAAATAAATAATTTGGTAAAAACAGTGTAAAGATATTGTTTATGATTGTGTATGTGACATCAACCTTTCAGTAAATTTATTGATTGCATTCAATGCAAAGTGTAATGCCAGAATGAAGTTTGCACACATTACCTTTTATATTGCCAAATGTATTATTCTAACATAGCCACGTTATTTAAGGTAAGGAATTCGCATTATTATAAGCAGTGCACACGGTGTGTTTATATAATGGTATTCATTGTGACGATTTTCAAACAAAACGAGAAATTTGTGTGAATACCAAAAAACCGAGTTACAATTGGCTTATTAATATACTTAGAGGGATTCCAGTTTTAAACCACTGATCCACATTACTGGTCAAATTTGGGTATATACATTAAAATAGTATTGTTGTCTAACGGTTCAATGCACAAAGTTGATAAGTGAAATATGGACATAAAAAAAATTGTTTTATTTCTGAATTGTTTATGATTTGGTTTGCACATTGCATATGATAGTTTGGTGAACAGGGATACGAAGTGCAACAAAGCAGGCAAGAATGTAAAGGCTTATAGTAAAGGCCAGTAGAGAAACGTGTGCGTAAACTGTTGCATTACCATGTAATTTTTTCTATATGTGTTTATTGCATGGATGTCCTATAAAATAAATGTTGCACGCTATAATTTGTATCAATTTACACTCACTTGCATATATCTGCGTACACCCCAAAAAAATTTGTAAATCAATCTTTCAACTCAAATTGGTCAACCATTGATTAATATTTTTAATCAATTATTTTTTTAAACATAACAATAATTTCTTGTCTTCAATGATATATATTTTTCCAAAATTTTTATCAATGTCTTCTATTTTATTTTTAATTTTAAAACTAACACTACATAAAATGTACACGCAAAAGTCTGCGTACATCTGGTTGAAGTTGCATGGAATGCAAGATTTTGCTATTACCGTTATGTTGTTTTTCGTCGATTTTGCTTTTATTGTATAAGCAATTAGTATTGCGCTGTTAAGCTGAGTTTTTGCACCACATTTCGGAGAATTACAGTATGTAGAGCAAAGGCAAAGAAATTTCTGTTGGGGAGCGAAAAATAATCATAAAACCATTCTTAGATAAGGAATCTTATAGAGAAATTGGTGTGTACGTAGGAAAAACCCACTTCTCCGTCCAAAAAGTAATTAATCATTTTCACTGACCGTATCTTACCAAAGGCTCGATCTGGCCGTCCGCCTTTGCTAACGAAGCGTAAGCAGAAGACGATTATTAAGTCTATTCAGCGTAATTCTAGGATGACAACACACACAGCACAGATTCGACGTTATATATTTCGACGAAAGTAAATTTTGCACGCGAGGGAATTGAATCGAGGGCAAAGTTTTGGTATGGCGAAAAAGCGGAGAAGCATTCAAAAAAGAAAATTTAGACGGCACAGTTGAACATGGAGGAAGCGCCATAATGGTGTAGAGGTGTATGACAGTAAGCGGTGTGGGAAACTTGACATTTATCGAAACAACTATGAATCAGGAAATATATATTAACGTTTTGAAAAACAATTTAAAAGAAAGTGCTGAGAAATTGGGGCTTGAACGTGATTTTTGGTTCCACCAAGACAACGACCCAAAGCACACGGCACAGAATACAAAGCTGCTTTATAATGTTAAAAATCAGCTGCGAAGACCTCAGAGTCCTGATCACAACCCTATAGAATATTTGTGGGATCTCCTCGAGCGAAAAGTTCGAAAATACACAATAACATTAAAAAAATGCTCAAAGATGTAATTGTGGATGAATGGGGCAAAATTACTTCTGATGAAACAAAAAATACTTGTCCGTTCCATGCCAAAACGCCTTGCGGAGGTTTTGCAAAGAAAAGGATATCCTACAAGTTATTGAAAACTGAGAATTATTATTTTGCGTGCACATTTTTTCGTAGTGTTAAATTTAATATTAAAAATAAAATAGACTTTGTTAAAAATTTTTGGAAAAAATATATCATTGAAGATAATAAATTATAGTTATGTTTAAAATAAAAGAATTGGTTAAAAATATTAATAAGTGGTCGAACAATTTGAGTTGAAAGATTGATTTTAAAATTTTTTTGGGGTGTACGTAGATATATACTCTATATGAGATTTTGGTGCTCTTCATTATCATCTGTATCGGTCGCGCCTCTTAAAAATTCATCCGGCAATTAAAATGTTGTTCCATACAACATTTCAGCTGCAATTGCATTTATGTCTTCTATTCAAGCTTGTAGAATCTCGATTAAATCAATTAAATTTGCTGTTAAACATCAGAGCAACTTTTAATGATGTGTATCATCTTTCTATCATCTCGTTTAAAGCTGAGTGATATGGAGTTGTTCTAATGGAATTTACTCTTATCAATCTGCCAAGAAGCGGACTGATCCGAAGGCGCTAAGTCGAATTGAATGCCACGGGCGGTTATAGTTTTAAGAAAACCAATTCTTGCTATATGTGTTAATTAAAATTGCGTTGTAACAATTTCTGCAGATATAGTTTGATCATCATACTTGTAAGTTATGCCTTGTTTTCGCTATATAATTTTAAATGCCAAAATATGACCCAGTCATTTTTTTTCGATAAAACAGTATCTGATAAAAATAGCATTGATTTTAGACTTTACTTCATTGACATACTGTTTTCATAAAAGATGTCAAATGAAAATTGACAGTTTTGACATCTCATGCAAAAACAAAATATAGAATTCAGCGGGAATTCAACAAATTGTGAAGAAAATTTAACTTAAATGAACAAAAGAAAAAAAATTTTGTTGGCCAGTGTTACAATAAGTTCAATGGTAACTTCAAAAGCGTACACAACAAAAAATTAAAAAAAGAAAAATAAGAAATGGTGGATTAAGCTTGGTTTGAAGCATAAAGCCGCTATCAGATTTTACGGTACATTTTGCAATAAGTTGGCATTGCAGAATCTATATTGGTTTCATTACTTTATAAGAATGAACTTAGAAGATTTCGATTTCCTTGTGGAGCGCGTTTCCCATATATACTTAGCGTTTTCACTTAATATCCTTGTCTTTATATTCCTTTAACAAAAAATTCCACATACCAAGGTTATTAACATTTTAAATTTTCTTAATGAGATGGTTTAGTAATTAAGAAATTTTCCCTAGATACACAATAGAAATAATATTATACACAATAGAAATAATATTTAAAATAAAAGATATAATTCATTCATAGTTGTAAAGCATCGTCTGCTAACGATAAATTACGCGTGTATTTCAACGATGTTTATGCTTCAATTTCTTAAAATGAATGAAATTTTGCATGCCGATAAAATCCGAATGTATAGGATTGTTCTACTTATTATTTAATATTATTATAATTCTTAATTATTATTTATTTCTTTCCCCATTTGTAATATTTTATATTAATTCTTTTCAACGCATAGAACACTATGGGAATGTACCTTCACAAACCGAAATGACTCAGTAACTGAAAATATTCTTATGGCATCAGACCTCATTGTTTTAAATAATGGTTTGCAACGCACATACATTTTGACATAACAATTTGTTCTCTAATCTTTGTTCTGCTTTGGTAATATGATAGAAGTAATTTTATCACATCTATCACATTAATATTATCAGTTCTCCAATACTTTAGCCCTTTAAAACTGAAACATAAATTCAAGTTTGGTAAAGTTAAATAAACTAATTTTTAAAAAATGTGTTTTGATTTGAATAACAAATTCATTTTGTCAAATAAAATGAACACAGAAACAGCGGATATTTTAAAAATTGATCGCTCCAGTACACAGTTCTCTATTCTATTAGTCGTTAATAGACAATTTAAGTCAAATAGAATTCTCTCTGATGGATTTAAATACTCTTCGATACAATAAACAAAGAGCATAGTATGACTATAAATGTTTTCCATTTGTCATAAATCATCTGTTAAATTACAAAATTGCGAATGAAACGTATATTTACATTTATTT